AGAAGGAAGATGGGGCAATCTACTTCCGCAGTGATACTGCCTCGGAAACCCAAGGAGGGGTCGCTATGAGTCAGGTCTGACTCGACGGCACATAACAACAACACAGCATATTTTTAGTCCATAAAATGTAGACACAGAGTCAAACAGATCTTCAAACAAGAGTGTTTGAAACCCAAGAATAATCCCAGATGTACATCCCCTGTACACAAGTCAGAAGGACCTTGGCATTAAGGGCCCCATTGGAGCTTGGAGAAGTAGAGCACCCTGTGCTGAGACATAAAGGAGAAGTGGAAGGCAGATGGGAGGGTAAACAGTTGTCCACAAACCCATACGGGAGTGCACTGCACAAGCATAGGGAAGAGGAGGTGGTGGCCCTACTCAATCATCCTCATCTTCTGTCTCAGGGATCCCATTACTATGAAGTGGGCAGCCAGGCCACAAAGCCATCAGACTGTTCATCTCCCACGCAGATCCCGATTGTGGGGCCAGACCCACAGGGATCATTAATGACTAAAATGAACAGATCATCTTTCAGTTTTTACACAAACACATAGCCTGGGTCTGGCTTGTTCATTGTGGTCTGTCTGGAGCTGTCAAAAAATGAAGAAAAACTTATATTTTAGTGAATTTTTTTTCAAAAGGCCCTGTCAGCAAAATTGTATAATACCAGAAATTTCTCTTTGGCTTGCCTCCTTTGGGCCCCACAATCACCCCCTCCTACTGGCCCTCCCCCTCAATACTCCCCACTCAAAACTCTTTCTCCTAACTTACTCTCAGGTAGAACCAATATTAACTTAGAGGAGTATTGTGTGTGTGTGTGTGTGTGTGTGTGTGTGTTTATATCTCCTCAGGAATACAAGTCTTCATTATGCTAAAGCATAATCTTTTAATGGTGGGAGCTTGGCTTAACTTAATACATAGGAGAATATATTGATGGGCTTCTCTGCCACCGAAACCACATTAAAAACCCCGCTTTCAAATACTAGTATTTGGTGATTTCTCAAGGTCCTGTACTTTAAAATGAATAGTTTGTTTCTTGTTTAGGAAATTGCTCTGGTAGGAAATTGTTCTGGCACTGCGGTATTCTCTTTTTTTCTTTTGGAATTTGCTTTGCAGATTTTGGTCACTTTTTGCCCTATTGTAGCATGTTTTGTTTTCTCCATTGTAATTTTTAAAAGCCAGTTATGGTGGCTCCGATTAAACAGATCACTCTGAAAGCTTGTTTTGTGATTAGGAAAAGTAAACAAAGCCTCCTGTGTACTTGCTTAACATCAGTAGGTGGCAGCACACACTCTCCTGTGAAGGCAATGAATGTGGAGGACGCCATTTTACTCGAGGAGCAGTTAAATTTAGAAGCAGAATCATACCAAATGGTTGTCTTTTAGTAATCCTTATGAGAGGATTTATTTCCAGGTTTTTTTTTTTTTTTTTCAACTCAATATACCATGAAAATAAAGGTTGAATAATTTACTACCATCTACTTCCGTAGTGATACTGCCTCAGAAACTCAAGGAGGG